GGTGGCTTATTGCCCGAGCAGCTTACACTGGTGAGACGAGGTTATTGGACCTAAGATCGGTGCGATTGGATTTAAGTAGGGTATATTAAAGATAAAATATCATTATTCAGTTCAGAATGAGGTAATGGTTCTTGTCAGGTGAAGAGACCCCATGATTTATTATTGGCAGGTGGTTATCAGTTTCTACACATCTCTTTCATCGTGGCAGTATTACGAGAGTTGGAACGGGGCTTACATGTGTTATGAGGCGTATTGCGGGCATTAGATTCGTGAAATTGCAGCTATTGTGGTCGGATGATGTTATTATGGGCATGCGAATTATGCAGTGCATGGTGTGGTTTCAGCAAAGATGCATGATCATGTTTTGGTACTGTGTAGTGATTGATGCGGTGTTCGTATGTTAGAATCGGGTCTCATGGAGAATTCCGGATGTTGGAACCTTGTTCTAAGGATTGTTGGCTAAGAAAAGGAAGGATCTTTAGTCTGACTCGAGCTAATATGCTCACATAGGTTGTGTTGGCACGGATAGGTGCACGAGGTGTTAAACAGTGATTTTAGACAACTCCCGAACAATTCTTGGCACGTTCAAGGACGAACGTATGCTTAAATGGGGGAGAATGTAACGACCCAACCAGCCGTTTTGAGCTCTAGCGTGTTGTTCAGAAGTTTGAGTCCTTGGGTAGCTTCATTTCATATAGTATGACTTGTACGCATAGTCGGAATTGAATTTCGGGATGTTCAGAGTTTATTCGGATGGAAAATTCTAATTTGGGAAGCTTTAAGTTGGAAGAGTTGACTAAGGTTTGGCTTTTGAGTAAATGATCTCGGAATCGGGATTTGAAGGTTCCAATAGGTTCGTATGATGGTTCTGGACTTGGGCGTATATTCAGATTGAGCATCGGGTCGCCTGGGAGCATTTTGGCGCTTAGAGTGGAAAGTTAGCATTTTGAAGGTTTTAGAATTTCCTAAGTTTGTTTTGAGGTGGACTTTGGGGTTATCGATGTCTTTTTGAGATTCTGAGCCTTGGAATAGGTTCTTATCGTGATTTATGACTTGTACGCAAAGTTTGGCATAATTTTGGAATATTTTGATATGATTCGGACGCGTTCGTCGAAGTTTGGAAGTTTGAAAGTATAAAGAAGGTTTCGATCGTCGATTCGTAGTTTTGATGTTGTTAGGTATGATTTGAGGCCTCGAGCAGGTTCGTGTTGTGTTTTGGGACTTGTTGGTGTGATTGGGCGGGGTCCCGGGGGCCTCGGGTGTGTTTCGGGTTGTTTCAGACCAAGTTTGGGTGATTTGCAACTGTTGGTGCTGGTGTCTGGTTTTCTTTTTCGCGAACGCGAAGGGTCTCACGCTTTCACGAAGGAGGATTTTGGGGCTGCTGGGATTTGCCCATCGCGAACGCGGAGCAGAGGCTGGGGTAGCCTACGCGACCGCGACTTGGAGGTCGCGAATGTGAAGAGGAAGGGGAGCTGGGGCCTGCCAGGCGTTAAGCATTCGCGGACGTGGCTCGTGACCCGCGAACTCAAGGCAGGGGGATCTGAAGGCTTCACGAAAGCAGCCAGTTAGTCGCGAACATGTAGAGTAAAATTTTGGAGGCAGTTGTTTTAGCCTTCGCGATTGGAAGGTGCTTCGGACGATCGCGATGAAGGACGGGCCTGGGCCGAATGGTTTTAAGTCGGGGTTTTTGCCTATTTCCCTCATTTCTCTCTTGGTTTGGGCAATTTTTGGAGAGATTCAAGGGGAGATTCTCATCGTCTAATGCAAGGTAAGTAATTCCTGCATATTGTTAGCTAACTACATGGATTCGACAAGGATTTAAACATTGAAATTAGTAGAAATTGTGATATTTTGAAAGAAACCGAGAAAATTGTAATTTTGGATTTTGACCATGAAATTGAACATGGAATTGGGAATAAGTCATATGTTTGAGTTCGTAGTATTACGGGTAAAGTTTATCTTCAAAAAATTTCTAAATTTGGGCACGTGAGCCCGAGGGTTGACTTCATTGACTTGGCAAGTTATTTGAGAAACGGTAAAGGTTATTTTCAGTTTGTTTGTAAGCACGTTTCTCATAATTCGATGATTTCCTTCTTTTCCTGTGGAGCAGGACGAATGCGTCGGCAATATAATAGACGCATCTATGGTTCGTGCCGCTCGACCATCGGCAGTATACACATTATTCTGGATCGGGCCGAACGACCTTGGCAAAATCATGCATTATATCGCTGGCAGTCCGAATATTCACGAGATAATCTTTCCACTGATGCCTAGAATTTTATATGGTGTTCCTTATTCATTTGATATTGACGCTTGACATTTTCGAGCTGTTGAGATAGGATACGAGATTGAGAAGTTTATATTGTTAAAAGAAATTTGAAAGAATATGTTGGTTACCGTTTTATCCCATTAATGTTGTTGTGCTTCACATCTGCTTAAGATTTATCATATTGTTTTATTGGACCTCTAGTAAGTGTCTATGTCGACCCCTCATAACTACTTCTCCAGGGTACACGTTGATTTACGTACTCATACTGCACTTCTACACTAAATGTGCAGGACCCGGGTTTATTTGGTGATCACCTCGACGCGTAGGCGCAACTGCTGAGGAGACTTTATGGTGAGCTGCAATTCCATGCTACGTATCGCAGCCCAAAGAAACTCCATCTTACTATTTATTTTATCCTGTCCCATTTACATTCCAGACAGATGTTGTATTATTATTGTACTCCTTAGTAAATACTCATGCATTTGTGACACCGGATTTTGGGATGTTCTAAAATTTGCTTTTGGTTTGCTTAACCTCGATACAACTTTACTTGTATAATATATTAATTGTATTTATCTACGACTTTAACGCATTTATGTCTCCACCTAAAAAGATTCATGATTTCAAAAATAATAAAATGAATAACTAAGTTGATAGTTCACCGTTGGCTCGCCTAACAGCGACTTGGGCGCCATCATGACCTATAGTGGATTTTGGGTCGTGACACCCAACTTTCAGTTTTGTTGATTCACCTGTAATCAACTTTCAATTTTTTTTTTACTTCTATCCAATTTCTAGAGAAGATTTTCTCTATCATGAGCTATTTGCTTGCATCTCTTTGAACTTGAATTTTTTTTTCGCAATCCTTCTCAGTATGATTATTTTCATGCATACATGATTGGCCTGACGTTTGCCAACATACTCAATGGCTAGACGGGCGGCACACATTGGCTAGCAACGCCCGCTGACAGCGGAAGCTACTTGATTCTCTCCCGAGATCGTAGAAGCTCTGATACCAATATGAAAGAAAAATATTTTATTATAAAATTTCTGATTGATCTCTACAATTTTTTATTTCCTCCACACATAAAATAAGCTACTAATACCACTATTTATAATAGTACAAAAACCTAGTCCAATTAGAAACATGAAAACCTATTCCTATATAATTCTGACTATAAATCCTATTTAGAAAAATAACAAGGGCAGGCCGGTGGACTAAGCTTCCGCTATGTGCGGGGTTCGTGGAAGGGCCGGACCACTAGGGTCTGTTGTACGCAACCTTACCCTGTATTTTTTAGAGGTTGTTTCTGTTTAGATATAAATTAAATAAATCAAATTCTAAATAACTAAGGTTTCCTACTATAACTTTGAATTAGTTTTCCAACCGTTAACGAAAGACAACAATGTTTTAAGAGTTTAAACAAAGTTTCTTTTTCACAATCTGCAATGAAGATAGACATGCATAGAGGGTATTAATATTTGTTTAAATTATTACCTTCTCCCGTCTCAAATTTTATGATATTCTTTTTGTTTTTTAATGTTAAATGTTTCGTACGATTTCATTTATATACTACTTTCACAACTTGAAGAGTTTAAATTCTATAAACTTTATATTTTACTGTGAGTTTTTTTATCGTTTGAACTTACCAAACTAATAATTAACATTCTCCTGTATTGTAAGTAAAGTATTCAATGTCATATTTGTATTGGGTGATACCCTTTTTTGCTTGAGCCCGACCGGGTTGGATCCGGTCCGGAGCAAGTCGGGGCCATCGAACCCGACCTGGATGCAAGGTAGAACGACGGCCACGTCTACAACCGAGGTCGAGTCATTTCGAGACCGTTACAGAGCTCGAAAGGAATCACCACCGGATGGAGAAACACACAAGGTCGGAAGCCGGGCTCGTAACGGATAACCAAGCGTCGCCGGATATCTCGCCCAAACGTGATTTTCTCAACCACTTCAGGCCATTAAGGCGTAATTACAGGGATCCACGATGTAATCAATTTACCTACCTTATTTTTACCCTTAATCAGAATGTATAAATGGGTATCTCTCTAAATTCTTGTGGATCATCAAGCACAATTGTTCTAAGCAATATTATATTCTGCGATTATTTACTTTAACGGCAATTGTTGAGTCTTTATCTTTATTTTCCTCAACCTAAAAGCCTTTTGTATCTTTTAGTTCACGGATCCTTAAAACCCCATATAAATTCAATTGTTATCCGGATTCAAGGGTAAACAATATTAACTTTAAATTATTATTTTAATATTTTACTTTTATGATAAACAAGTACTGATATACTCATACTACATAAGGCAAATTTTAACTCGTAAGTTATAAAAAATCGGTAACGGCAAGAAGAGAGTTAAATACATTCAAATTATAATATTACCGTATTACTTAGGAGTGCACAACTACCCAAAACACAAGAGAGATTGAAGAGGAAGAAGAAAACCCTAAAATTCTCAAAATCAAGAGCTGCTTCTCCCAAAGCAGAGATGATCAACAGCAGCGCAGTACTGCCAATGGATGTGATGATGGACATCTTCTTAAGGCTACCCACAAAAACATTATGCATGATGAAGTGCGTCACTAAAGAATGGAGAAACTTAATCTCTGACCCATTTCTCAAATCCCTTTACAGAGCACGTTCATCTCTTAAACCTAGTTTGCTTTTCCTCCAAAAAAAAACATGACGGTACTTCTACTACTAGAGTAAGTATGTCATCCTTTGATTTAAATGGGAACCATAACTTTGACTCCACTTTCACTTTGGATGGTTACGTTTTTTTCATGCCTTCTAAGTGGGAGTTGATTTGCTTTCTTTCCAAAGACGAAGCATTTTACGTATGTAACCTAAGTACTCCAGAGTTGGTTAAGTTACCTAATACTCCTACTAATTCTTGTACTTCTTTGAACGGTACAGCGTTTGGATATATAAAGGAAAGGGATGAGTATGTATTGGTTAATTCTCGCTTTATTAGTAATAATAATACTGTGTGTGAAGTCATGAGGTGGACTGATGGTTGTTGTTTGAAAAATCTTTCTTGGAAGGTTGTTGATGCAAAATGCCCGTATACGCTAAGCCTAAGCTGGTGTGGCGTTCTGGTTGAAAATACTTTTTATTGGATTCTATACGGGGGCAAGTATGAAAGCATTGAAGCAATCATTTTATTTGATTTGAAAAAAGAGGAATTTGGTACAGTGATGCCACCAAAGGATATTTTTGATGATGACGGACTTTGGTCTTTGGCGGAATTGAAGGAGATGTTGTGGTTGTTTGGTTCACCTGAAGATGTATCTACCATGGATATTTGGGTGTTGAAGGATTCAAAGAGTTATACGTGGGTTAAGGAGTACACTATTGACCTAGCTGGGATTAACCTTGACTTGGGGTTTATCAATATTCTGGGTCACAAGGAAGGGAAAATTCTTATGGATGTCCGTCATGAGAGTCTTGAGTGGTATGATATGGACAACAAGAGCTTCAAGAGAATAGATAAGGTAGGGTCAGTAAAATGGAGTTGGTCTCTACTTTATGCTGATGGCTTATTTTCCTTGGGAAGTCGATAGCCAGGCGCATAATGTCTTCACCTGCTATTTATGGTTGTCTCGTCAGCCATACTGTTTGACCTTGTGCTTAGAGTAAATTAGTTAAACTTTTTAATTAACCAAACAATGGCCTGACCCTGCAGGGCACATGTTACCCATTGCCTTCGCGAAGCAAATCAAGTGGCAGATTGGTTCGCTAAAGAGGCCACCAGAGCTAACGAAGGTATCACACATACGGATTTTAGACGGGTACCAAAAGCGGCCAAGGGCCCTTTCTTCATGGATATGTGGCAGGTCCCTTCTTTTAGAATTAGATATGAAAAATCCAATTTTTTTGTAAGTTAGTTCTATGCATAGTGAGAGGAAATGGTCTAATATATATTTTTGCCTATAGACTCTTCCTCTCCTTAGGTAGAAAGGTATCCCCGAGGTAAGGTTTATGTCCCCCCTCAGTGTAACCTTTTTTGTTTATATAATAAACATGCATGTAGGGGTCCAGCCAAACCCCCCAACACCACAGGGATGAAAACCTGGGTGATTGGTTTATTTAAAAAAAAAAAAAAAACAATGGTCTGTCATTTTAAGGAGCTATCTTGTGGTCTTTGGGATGTATTCAACTACTTTGGTTGAACTATTACATTTATAATGATGTAGAAGACATTCATGTTAGGATTATTTTATGATTATTGTTCTTATCGTGTTATGTCGAAGCCATTTCATGAGGGGATCGGATTCTGGTTATAAACATGGACGGAAATTTTTTACCCTCTTGCTTTATGTCATGAATGTTCTCATTGTTCTTGCCCGACTTAGCTCTTTTCTTTCTAAAGTAATTATGCTTATTAGCCTAAGATACTATTTGATGGTGAGTTTCGGAGCAAGAGTAAAATTGTATCGATATGACCAATAGGTTACTGGTTCGAGTCATGAAATTAGTCGTTGATAGTACTTGTGTTAGCTAGGGTAGGTCCTTCTCTCACGCACAATACTCGTATGTTCTATTCTCAGGTAGTTAGGATGTCATACAAATTGATTTATCTCAATGTTAACTAACTTCATTCCAGTCTATGAATATTGAATGCGTCAATGAGTGGATGATGTGCTTGGATAGTGGGTGAATAAATATTGAAGTTATTTCCGTAATAAAATCTAGTAACATGAAAATAAGCTGCCGCTAATTATAAGAACGTACTCTCTCATTTTGATTGATTGATCATATATTTTTTCTTTGGTTGTTGACGTTGAGTATTGGTTCTAAAGTTGAGCAACATCAAGCAAGAAGAGTTTACTACTTTTTTGGGGTTTCTTGGTATGGACAAAAGTGGATAGAAGTCAGAAAGGGGAAGTCTAGTGTCACTAATTAATTGCTGGGAAATCTCTTTTTATCACCCTTGACACTACTACTACAAAAGGGAATCTTTGGCTGGAGTAGTGAGATCGAGTGAATTTGATCAAAGTTCTGTTATTTCTGCAAATTGTTACGAACATGTTGAAAAAGGGCACCCTTCTTCCCGCTCTAATGTTTATGGCTCAGGTGATGATATTTTTATTTTATCGCGACTAATATTGTTTGTGAACTAACTCATTTTTCATAAAAATTAATCACATTGGTAATTTATACGGATAGGTAAATAAAGTTTTGTGTGACCATTTGACGTACTTTAGCGAAATCTGAATGAATTTTTGATGCTTTTGGTTCAAAAATGTATAAAGTTGGTTTTTGGGGGGTAAGTTTAACATTGCCCCTTTTCTGTTGTGAATACAACAACAACAACAACAACAACCTCAAAGACTTGATCTTTAATTGAACCTTTTCCTATGTGATTTCATGTGTTAATTGATACATATTACATTTAACCTTCAATGGTTCTTTGATGTTTTCTTTTCATAGTCGTTTTCAATCTACCTCTATTTAGCAAACCGTGGATCTTTTAGTTTATCCCTCGCTACAAGAAGGAACATAAAATCTACAATTAAGCAGAGGTACAAATGTAAAATGTTAAGACACGACCACTTTAGTTGAAAACTGCATAGAAACTTATACTACCTAATGTATAACCTGTTCCAGCACGAGTCGGTAATCAATTGTGTGTCTTTGTCATAACCAGTCAAGGGAGTGAAAAGGAAGACGGCTTCACTAATATCAAATGATAACGAAGAATGCGTAAAGGAAGAGAATCACTATTCCTGAACAAGATAGACCTCCATACATTTGATAAAGTTGAACTACAAATAAAATGTCAGGATCCTCAGATTTATCCCCCTTTTGGCGAGGAGCCTGGGAGGATGGAACATCTTCTCCTTCAAAGGGATGTATCTCTATCTCTGTGTTCCTATCAGCCCCCCTTTTTCTTATTCTCTCTCATGATATTTATACAAAATACTTCCCTTACCTAGTGGTCCTTAACCGGAGTACCTAAGTTCTTGAAATATTCTTTAGAGTATTCCTCTGAAATGACTAAGTGCCGAACTAGCCGTTCGGGCCGAACTGAGTGCTCGACCTCGACCGTAGCTGAATCATTCGCTGATATATTGCTTCCTGTACGTGACTTCGGCTTGGTTGACTCCTGTTCGTTCTTCCTTAAGTAGAATTCCTTTGATCAGATTTTGACCTATACAATACCATATCTAACCGGTTGAGATTGCTCCAATAAAGTTTGCTCTACCTTTCTTTAACGGATGTAAAGCATGAGAGTCTTGAGTGGTATGATGTGGAGAACAAGTGTTTCCAGAGATGGCTTGTTTTCCTTGCGAAGCAAATAGCTTAGCAGCATAACTTTTTCTGAATGCCAGATCAGATTTGGGCTTTCCACCTGCAGCTTATGGTTGCTTCGTCATTGTGCTTAGTATTTCACTTTTTACTTTGAATAATATTATAGTTAATGTTTTTTAACATTGTTGTTCTATCATTTTCAAAGTTATCTTGTGGACTTTTTTATCCATCTCAACTCTTGTTGTTGATTATAACATTTGAAATGATGTTGGAGAAGTACATATATTCGTGTTAAAATTGATACTTATTTCTCATTTTGTTACGTGGAAACCATTTTATGATATGATAGAATCCTCTTTAAACGTGAATATTCAGAAAATAATTATCCTCTTGATTATGCGGGCATGGTTATTTTCAGAGTTCTTCCCTGTTTTAGCTCTTTTCTTTCTAAGGTAGCAATGGTTATTAGCCGATTGATTTCCTACTATTAGTTTGTCACATTTATATGGAATTTACATTTCACAATTAATCGACTTAATTCCGGAATCTTGGAGTCTTGAACAAAGCATTGTCTGAGTAAATCACATCAGGGTTTTAAGTGTGAGGAAAATTGAGTTATGAAATTTCTTTTCCGAGTTAAGTTTTTGGATCATTGATATCTCAGAAGATGTGATGAGACATTGTAGACCAAACTCGCTTTTGCTTTTGGATTTCTGCTATTTTGTCTCATGTATTGTCTTCTCATTTTAATATAATTATGAAGACTTTGTTGCTTGTTAAATTGGTTGTCTTTGGTGTCGCATTGTTTTTTCCCCTATACACAAAGATAGTGAGGAAAGAAAGATGTTAAGCAAGAAGGGTTTTTTTTTTTTTTAGGTGAGGACAGCACTGGGCCCTGAGGAAAGTGATGAGAGTCAGGAGGTGGGGGGGGGGGGGGTGAGGGGGAGTTATGTTATGGGATTGGGTAAAGGTGGCAAAATGGTTAAAAGAAAACAGTTATCCACCTATATTATCCATCAAAAATGGGTTGGATAATGAACCATTTAAAAACAGGTCGAATATGGATAAAGAACCATATTATCCACTTAGAAAATGGTTAACCAAATGGATAACTAATGTGTTTAACTTTTTCATTTGTAGAGCCTCAAATTGGGGTTCCTCAAGTTTGGAAGACTAAGAATTCTCTCTCATAAGTGATCATATTTAAGAAGTCCTGGATAATATGGATATCCATATTATCCGCCAGATAAACTTGTTTTTATCCGTCTCAAATACGAGAGGAAGAGAAAATGACAAGAAAGAGAGAGAACATTAAAGGACAAGAGAGGGAGAGAGAAAAGGAGCTTGGAAATAAACCCCATGAAAACACCAAATAAAGTCATATTAAGCATTTTAATTACACTTCAAAATCATAGATCATAGATGATTCTCCAAACTTCACCATCAACTACGGACCACTTAGTTTTAATCAACTACTAAAAATTAATATTTCCATCTCAAACTTAAACGAAATAGTAACAAAAAGGAGATAAATGAATATAAACAGACCTGAAATTCCTTTAGTCAATTGATAGAATGAGTCATGGTAAACAGTGGGTGTGGTGGAGAAAGTTTACCTCCTATATTTCCTCTTTCCTGGTTTTAAGTTTTTTCTTTTTGTTTTGGTTATGCTACATTGCTACTCAATTATTTTTAAGGCAGATGCGGTGAATCCAGTGCTAATTATATTTCAACAGTAACTAATGTTATTAGTTCAATAAGTCTCATATTATATTTTTTAACAAGTCTTTTATGCTCAAGGAAAAATGTTAAAAGACTACTTTCCTACGATCAATACATTATTTCATATCAATCTGTATCATAACCATCAAGAAAGCAGTCTACCAAGCACAAAAATAACACATTATAAAAAACCACAAACCATTGATGAAACTGGGATCCCCTCATTCATGAAAGTTGAAACAGTTTCAACATAACACAATAAGAATAATGATCATTAACACAAATGTATTTCCATCATCATTTCAAATGTAACAATTCAACTAAAGGAGTTGAGATGCATCTCAAAGACTACAACATAACTCAGCACCAATGACAGAGCATTGTCTGGCTAGCTTTCAAAAAGTTTTAACTGATTTACTCAAAGCAAAAAGTGAATCATAAGCACTACGATGACAAAGCAACCATAAACGGCGGGTGAAAAACCCAAATACGACATCCAGAAAACATCAATGCCGCCTATCGACTCCCCAAGAGGAAAAAACCATCAATGTAAAGTCCACACCAGTTCTATCCTCTTAATCTTAGATTGTATAATCTGTTGAAGCACTTGTTCTCCACATCACCCCACTCATGCTTTTGAAATTTTCTATTCAACAAATATAGATGTATGCTAGAAGTATTTAAGAACAATCTACATCATCAATATCATACTTACAACAAACCTAATACTTCGGACCTTATCAAGCCTTGAAATCATAATACCTTCACCTGCACCAAAATGGGGGAAAAGAAACAAAACAACGACATATAAACAAATAAACACTAGGTCGCAACACTTCTATAGAACAGGTGGTGAGAGAACATTCAATGAATTTTCATATGGTATCTCAAAATGGTCAAGAATGTTTAGGTCATTCCATTTGCTAAGGCACAAGATCATGGAAATCTATTCATAGACTGGAATGAAGTTGGTCAACCCTGAGATGTCAAATAACATGACGTTTGGACTAACTGGCAATAGGACATTAGTATTTTGATATGTAAGGCTAATAAGCATTACTACCTTAGGGGGACAATTAGCTGAATAGGGGAAGAACAATGAACATATCCATGCCATTAATCAAGAGGATAATTTTTTCTCAGTCAATGTTTTACTAGGATCCCCTCATCGTCATGAAACTATTTCTAAGTAACACTATAAGAATAATGATCATTAAACAATTCTAACATAAATGTACTTCCAACATCATTTCAAATGTAATAACTCAACTACAGGAGTTGAGATGCATCTCAAAGACCAGAAGATAATTCAGCAAAATGACAGAGTATTGTTTGGTCAGCTTTCAGAAAGATTTAACTATATTACTCAAAGAAAAAAGTGATACCCTAAGCCCTACAGCAACCATAAACCACAGGTGGAAAGCCCAAATCCAGCATTCAGAAAAACATTATGCTGCCTATCGACTTCCCAAGGAAAAGAAGCCATCAATGTGAAGTACAGACCATTTCCATTCTACTGACCTTAGATTGTCTATTCTTTTGAAGCTCTTGTTGTCCATATCATACCACTCAAGACCCTCAGAATCGACATCCATTAGAATTTTCCCTTCCTTGTGACCCAGAATATTGATTAACCCATCGCCAAGGTTAAACCCGGCTAGGTCAATAGTGTACTCCTTAACCCACATATAACTCTTTGAATCCTTCAACACCCAAATATCCATGGTAGATATATCCTCAGGCGAACCAAACAACCACAACATCCCCTTCAATTCCGCCAAAGACCAAAGTCCGTCAACATCAAAAGTACCCTTTGGTAGCACCACTGTACCAAAGTCCTCTTTTTCCAAATCAAATGAAATGATTGATTCAATGTTATCATGCTTGTCCCCGTATCTAATCCAATAAAAAGTATTTTCGACCAGAACGCCAAACCAGCTTAGTGTATACGGGTATTTTGCATCAAGAACCTTCCAAGAATGATTTTTCAAACAACAACCATCAGTCCACCTCATGACTTCACACACATTGAAATTATTAACCAATACATACTCATTCCTCTCCTCTATATATCCAAACGCAATACCGTCCAAAGTAGCACGAGAACTAGTAGGTAATTTAACCAATTCTTGAGTACTTGGGTTACATACATAAAACCCTTTGCCTTTGGAACTAAGAAAGCAAATCAACTCCCATTTAGAAGGCATGAAATAGACATGACTATCCAAAGTGAATGTAAAATCAAAATTATGATTCCCATCAAAATCAACTGATGACATACTTACTCTAGTAGTAGAGGTACTGCAGCATTTTTCTTGGAGCAAAAGCAAACTGGGTTTAAGAGATGAGCGTGCCCTGTGAAGGGATTTGAAAAATGGGTCAGAGATTAAGCTTCTCCATTCTTTGCAAACGCACCTTAACCTGCACAATGTCTTTGCGGGTAGCCTTGAGAAGATGTCCATCATCACATCTTTTGACAGCATTATCATCTCTGCTCCGAAAGAAGCCGTTGTTGATTTTGATAAATTTAGGGTTTCCTTCATTTCTCTGTTTTTATGTTTTCTACGGTCAATAAGAAGCCTTTCTGTCTCAATTTCAACTCAGGGCTTTCGTTTCTCTAGTGAGTTACAAACGAAGCGCGCCTAACAGCTTGTTTGGATGGTTGTTACCTGTCGTGTTTCATAATGTATCGTATTGTATTGTATTGTACTATATCGTTTGATTAATACAATGTTTGGATGAATTGTATCGTTTTGGCGTCGTTTCATGGTATCACGCACCTGTGATATGATGAATAAACTTGCAATATTATAAAGAAAAATTATGATATGTATATAAAAAGGTAGGGTAAATGATAAAATAAAATTATTTAATAATAATGAAGGGTGAGATTGAGAGAAAAACACAAGGAAACGACGCGACCACACCAAATCGGTCGTTACATAAAGTGGTACATTTCATCGTTACGTAACGACGGATTTAACGATACGATACAATAAAATTTAAGTAATAATCAAAACAAACATTGTATTTAAAGTAACAATACGATACGATACGATAGGTAACAACCATCCAAACAAGCTGTAAACCCCTTCCTTCTTTACTTAATCACCTTTTGCCAACTAATAAAGTGACTTTTTTTTTAATTTTCTATAGTAATACCCCAAAGAAAGTGTCTTTGTATTTGGTCTTTGGATAACACGATTAGGGATAACAACTAAAGTTTCTTTAATCAAAGTTGCCATATTCAAGAAGCTTGTTTTCCATCCCCTTAATCCACTTTTTCAACAATCAAGATATTTTCCAAAGCAATTAGCTTGTTTCATTGTTAAATAATCTAACATATAGTATTTATCAACCTTTGAGCATTATTTGAGAAATTTATTCTAAATTTTATTAGAGTTAAATGATGAGTTGATTATTCGGATAGTCACTTAATTTTGGGTAATTAGTCATCAAAGTCATATATTCCCTTCCGTTTAAAAAAGAATGAACCTATTTTGAAGTTTAAAAAAGAATTAAAGAGTTTTAGAATTTGTAGGGTAAAACAATTTATAATATTTGTATGGCTGTAAATCATCTTATTAAGGTTAAAATGGAATGTTTAAAGTTATATTATTTCCAAATTTACAAAGCGGTCATTTATTTTACCCCATGTTTTTCTTCTGATTTTAATTTAGAAAGTGTTTGTTGCTAGTTCTTTTGTAAGTAAAACAAATTAGGTTGTGTTTGGTGTAGCATTGTTTTTTCTCTATACACAAAGATAGTCAGAAAAGAAACATGTTAAGCGAGAAAGATTTATTTTTCATGGTTTTTGGTGAGGACAACATTAGGCCCCGAGGAAAGTGATGAGTTCTCTTCCCCCAACAACTTCACTCCAGAGGAATCGCATATTCTTAAGCGAGAAGGTCAGACTCTTGTTATTGAATTTTCATTGTTTACACCTAATAGCTCATTCTCTATTTTATTTTTGTGCTCAATCCTTATATTTTCCTTTTTCAGTCTAAAAGGAAAGCGAAGTGACTATCATCAGATAGTCACGAGCGCTTAGAGGCATGAAGTTAAGCGATTACTATTGGAAGGAGCTTAACTTCTTAAAGGACTCTTAATAAAGATAGTTTTTTTGAAAAAAAGCAATTCAAGTTGGGTTTGAAAGAAGCCAGGTGATCCGATTAGAAGATAAAGAAGATAGATGAGAAGATAAGGGGCGAAGGACTTTTTAATATCTGATCGGTGCAAACATGATATTAATTCGTCTTGTCCTTTATTAAGAGACTCCGGACGCTCCTTTTTCCTAAGGCCCAGTCCAGTTACCTTTGCGGATCTCCGCCGCTTGCTTTTGCACTATTGTTACTTACGACTTCTCTTCTCTTACACAATTCCTGACTAGTCGTAGTTTTCTAAGGATCGGAATAAGAGGTTTCGACTTTTCGAGGTATTTAACATAACTAATAACTTCATATTGAAAAAGTTTAAAATTTTCAAATCATTTTGATCGGAATTCAACTAAGAGGAACGAATCAAGGCCTGAAGTTGGTTCGTCGAGCAAGAGGAGAGAAGGATCAACAAGGATTTCATTCCCTGTGTTTGTTCTTTTTCTCTCTTCCCCGGATATGCCTTTAATAAGTCATCAACCTATTCTCATGTAACGACATCTATGATCGTGAAATTCAGGAATGAACAATTGCAACAATCATGTTCAATTTTTTTTGATAATTTTAAAATGTGGTGCTTTGTAATCAAGGTCAAGAAGGAAGTTCATGAAAATGTAGCTCACATAGGCATAATTCTTTAATAATAACTTCATCTCTTTCATTCAGAAGTGGGTGGAGGGGGGATTTCTAATATCAGCTATTTATGATGGGAAATCCCCCTTTATGACCATTTTTTAAAAGATAACCAAACTGGAGAGAGAAAGAAAGTAAGGATCATAGAAGTTTATAGCTCATTGTTTTCAAATGATCGGTTTTGTGTATTTTCATAGCACTGAAAAAAAAAGAAAGAAAGTAAGAATAAATAGTTACGTAGCTTTTGGATCTTTAGTTTGATGTGCATGCTTGTATGAGCCAAGTCTATATGGCCTTGTTTCCTGGTCCTTGTCTCAATTTTCTTCGAGCTCGGAATAAAGGGAATTTTATTTTTGTTGGTGCTAAGAGGCATCTATAAGATGCTGTGTTTAATGAATCTCTTAATAAAGGGAGAGGGTTCGAATTTTCCCATTTACTATGGTATATATATTTATATTTTCCCCTGTTATAATTTTGGTCCAGAACCACTTCTATCCTTAACAAAGTGTGTGAAATTACCCTTAACTCTAACGTTCCTCCTAGCGTTCTTCCATTGTGGCAGGCAACCCCTCTATTAATTTGTTCATATTAGCAGCCAAGTCAACACCTAAATATAATAGTCCATAGATTTTAAACCAGTACATAACAGCATGGACGAAGCTATTTTCTTGTTCACCTCTCTTTCCATTCCACCACCATACACCAACAGTACCGTTGCCGACGAGCTCACTCAGCTTTGAATAGTCAATGCATGCTATCACTCAAAAATCGAACTTTGAGTCCTTTTTTCTTAATGTGCAATAAATGTAGGATTTTTTGGTGTTGCCTTAAAAAAAACCACTCGGGAAGATCTAACAAATCCAAGTTTTGTGTGCTCGGATTTGAGTAATTTGATCCGCTCACTTTTTGTCTTTGAATTGTGACTCTAGAATTGTAATTATTTTCCTTTAATTTCTCAATATGCACATAAGAATATTGAGTAGAGTGAGAGTTTTTAGAGTAAATTTCATGGATGGTCATTCAGCTTTTGGTTCATTATACAAAAGTGTCACGACCCATTTTCTGAACAAGCGGGACCGGCACTCGATCACTAAACATGACCGAGCGAACCATCTCTGCTTATCAAATCTGTTATAACTCCAAACTTTATATGCATCAAGGCAATACTCTAACCAATTACTTTTGATTAATTTAAATATTTAAATAAATCAACTCCAAAACTTTATTCGTAGTAACTACTGAATTACTACTAAGTTATTATTAAAAATATCTGAATCTTAACCAACGACTATGTCTATGAAGCCTCTACTGATAAACTGACGCACTGCTCAGGACATGAGATTTCCTGGCCAGTTCTCTAAGTAAACAAAGAAATAACTAAATAAAGATGACTCAAAGGAATACTCCACGAACAAAAGCGGAGCTCACCAATAACACTGGAAGAGAAGGAAGTCCTAACCCGTAGCCTGCTCGCCTGCAAAACCGGTTCCTACGTTGTACCGCAGACCAACGTAGGTTCCCAAAAGAGAAAGTCAGTACCATCCATTGTACTCAGTGAGACTCAACAACAGGGGGCAAAACTTTAATAACATATACATTACGAGCAAAGGTTCTAAATGCATGTAAAATATAAAGCTTATAAGAATAATTCTAAAATAATTGCATAATAGCAGTTTATGAATATTCTAAAAGAAATTCTTTTCTTTTTCTTTCTTATAAAAAAATACTTCACTTTATACTTTGGGAGTTCCAACTATCCTGACTTAATTCTGTCTCAGTCACCGTGTGATCGGCACGGGTTCAATCCCAACCTGATCGAATAGGCACAATCCACGAGGTGCCACTCGCTTCATGGTTCTCAGCTCTCATGTATCAGGACTCTCGGCTTGGACGACGACCCCTTCTCAGAATAAGGATACTCCCAAAAATCTTTTCTTTCTAAAACTTCTTCTTGTGACTTTTCAAGTTTAAATCTTTTCTTTATAGAACATCATGTACATGCTGATGCTGGTATCCTTAAATGTAAAGCATGGCATAAGAATGAAATAAACATGTAAAAGTATTTCTAAAGATTCTTTCTTCTTCATAAATTTTCAACATGAATATAGCATATAAGAATAACACAAAAATCTGAAAATTTAAGCACATATATCATAATAAATCATATAAACTTTTGCTAGAACAATTCTAAGTTAATAGGTACTCACTCGCTCCAATTAAGTAAATATAAACTCTTTTAAGCAATTCATCAAACACCTTGTATGCATGCTTTTGTGAGTTAAACCATTTTAGTAAAGGGTTATATCAACTCACCTCAAAACTCCTCGAGCCAATACGTAGGCCCCAGTCCAATTGACACCAGTCAAACAATCGATTATACAACAACCAGTGCATTTTAATCAATTTTAAAGTTTCACTCCTAAACATGGAATTTATTGTTGATATGGAGAAAGAAGGGAATTAACTATCCAATTCTTATACTGTAGGATAATTGACAATAAGGAATTTCATATACCCGAGTTCAAGAAATAGTGACTTATAAAGAACCTTAGAACTTTGGGTGCAATTTCGTGGCTGCCTTTGCGTTAGTAACAGAACGTGAAGTTTTCTGTTTTGAGAATCTCCTTTTGTTTAAACCTTTTCACAGCCCTTATTTTTTGGCTAAGGCTTTCACGCCTTTACTGCCAAGAGCCCTTTATGGGCTTAAGGCTCATATTTTTTTTACAATTTATTTG